AATTTCTCCCCAGCACGCGAGGGTACGTGATAAAGTGCAAAAATAATGTTTGGACCACTTCGAGTGGCCCTTGAGAAACCAAAAAAGAGAAAACCTAACCAACCGACGATGAAAGTGAATATGGTCGTTCGACCGGATATAATGGGCTCTCCCGGAACATTTTCTACGCGGCGTTACCACGTTTCCGAATCGTGAAATATTTTCATGGAATTGACGCGTTAAATATCAACGAGGAATTACGCATTTTTGAACCGATGTGTTTCGGCTGGTTCGGGTTTACAACGCGCCGAAAAAAACTTTGTAAATTAGGACTTGACTTGTCGCTTAATAATTTCGTTTTCGGTCAGTACGGCAACGTGGCCCCGGAAAAGCTTTCTCCGTAGCTGACGATCGGGAAATAATAAATAGGAAAAGCGACTGAGAAGGGCGCAACAGGACCGATGATCGTCAAGCCTCTGCCAAAAGAATTCCGACTCTAGTCTATGCATATCAATGGAGTGGAATGTGGAAACCAGATACGTACCGACCCCCGCCAGATTGTTTTTTTTGCCTCATCTTGAAACGATTGGAAATAAAAATTGTGATGCCAAATTGCCAAATAAGAAAAAAAAAATAGAAGTATTCTTGAGAATCTTCTATTAACAAACAGGGAAATTTTTTGCTTGTATATATGGGAGTTGGTATACGACGATTCCACCATTCTCCTTCGTTTAAACTTCTTGCTAACGTCTACCTGTCATCATCTTGTCAGGGTTTCGGTGGTTTTCTTCCTCTTCTCTTTCTTTCTGGAGGAACCTAATTACATAATTTTTTTAGCCATCTATTCTGTTCCAAGTGGACATTCTACTTTCGATGGTATCCAGAATGAAGGCAGTTATACCCTTTCGCTCTTTTATTTCGTCGTTTCTAACGTGCATCGCCTTTGAAATTCCATTACCTATTCCGTAAAAGTAGTAGTGGATTTGTAGAGCCGACAATGGTTCGTTACTTTTTTTTGGCTTAAGATTAATATTTAATCCAGAAACGCTATAATAATGGAGTACCTTAACCAATTTTACACCAAACAACTTGTGGGTGTGGCCACTAATAGGCTTTTAGTTATATACGAAGTCGTAATCTTCTTGTTTATATTTTACTTGAGTTGATAGCAAATACTAGAACAGGTACAGGTTGGATCATAAAATAAGGCTCTCCGTTGTAATCCAATTAACAAGGATAGTTTGCTTTGGTCATTTGACTATCAATATCATACAATAACACATTGTGGCAATTGGCACAAAATTATCGGCATCCATTGAACATTCTGTCGCTAAAACCCAAATCCTTTCTTTCATTTCTATTCCCACATTCCAAAAATACGGGTTATTGGTTTCCAGATTTTTTTCGGGTATCTATTCTGTTCCGTTCTCTGGAAATGCCAATACCAAGTGGACAATTTACTTTCGACGGTATCCAAAATTGGAGGCAGTTATACCCATTTGCTCTTTTATTTCGTCATTTCTAACGGGCATCACTTTTGAAATTCTATTACGTAATAGTAGTAGTCGATTTCTAGAGCCTGGTTTCTTGTTTTTTTTTTTGTTTAATATTAATATTTAATTCAAAAACGCTGTACTAATGAAAGACCTTAACCAACTTTCACAACAACCATATTTCGAACACATAACAACTTGTGGAGATGGTCACTAATAGGTTTTCTGTTAAATACGAAATCATAACCTTCTTCGATGTATTTTATTTCAGTTGATAGCAAATACTAGAAGAGGTGGAGGTTGACATCCAATTAACATGGATAGTTTGCTTTGTCCAGTTGACTATCAACATCATACAATAATATATTACAAGTCATTGAAATTTGGCAACATTCTGTGGCAAAAATCCAAATCCTTTCTTTCATTTCTATTTCCACATTGCAAAAATACAGGTTTTTCATTTCCAGATTTTTTTTCAATGAACACTAATTGCAAGTTGATAGGGCATTTTTAGTTTTCCAAATATGATGGCCGATTTCTTATTTATTAAGATACGGTTCTGTACAAAGTCGACAAATAAAAAGGTATCGAGGCCGGATCGAGTAATACACGTATCGGACAATCGCAGAGGCACCTACTTTATTAAATCTGCCTGGAACTCCTTTTGTGTGATATCTAATCGCGCATCGAGCCCCGTGCCCTATACGGCCCGCTTCCCCCGGGATTGGCAGCAATTTCCGCATACACGTCACCCGATGGGAAATTGCGCAGCGCAAACAATCGACACTTCGATCGGCAAATTTTTCCCTTATCGACGCTTAAGAAATTATCATTACTCCCCGAAATTAGAACTTCGTCGACGCCATCGAACCGTGTATGCCGGCGTAGACAAAATGCCAGTGATAGACGGACGTTTGTCGTTATGGCGACAGCAAAAACCAACTTAAACGGCCCATTTCCAGTGCCTTTATTACGTTTTCCTTTTAGGGCGCGAAATTTTTGTGCCGTCGCGCTGCGCGGATTGAACGCGAAATAGAGACGGGACGGTTTGGAAATCAAAGGAGAAGAAAGAAATACGTCGGTCTCCGCAAAGTCTCATTGTGAACTAAAATTTATTTATCGCATGCTTTGAATAAACGAGACGGCCGGTATAAAAATTACATTGTGCCCGTGACCAGCCGCATATATACTGAACGTTGTCCGTCAATACAATCAACAAGTTAAAAGTTTTTAAGCCGATCCGTTTAAAGTAAACGGCGAACCGCTATACAGGACGGCCTATCCGAAATCCTTAGATTCTTCTCCTTGAAATCAGCTTCTCCTCGGGAACTTGCTGATCCGCATGGCTATTCAAACTTTCCAAAGCCAAAGCATTCCTGTCTGCAATTTTTTAATAAAAACTCGATATCCATATTTCTTCTCCAGTGCCTTACTCAAATTAATATCTTCCAAATCATACAGGAGACCGGAACCAGTCCAAATCTTGGTTTTACGGGTAAGTCTTGAGCTGGTAAGATTTCCTATCTGTGTTGGTTGCTCCCGTGTGCCAAAATATTAAATATTTGTCGAACTTCAACTGCATTTCCGTTTTTGACTAGTGGTGTCCTTCTACTGCGTTGTTCGCCGGTAATCCATAGAAATGGACTAGCGTTGAAGCCAAGTAATTTATACAAAAAGAAGAATCTACAAGATTATTTACAACTTTGCAAAGAAAAGCAACATCGCAACAGTTTCATCGAGTTTCAAGCTAACATCAATAGAATCATTTTTCCTGTCAACAGAATATATTGACATTTATCACCAAGATAGCTCCAAGACATTCAAATGTAAACGAATCTCTTTTTTTACTTTTTGTATGTGTGTTTCTTGACTAATAAATTAATTTAATGGGACCTTAACCAACCTGGGCACTGGCATGATATTATCGATGCTGATTTTGAGGAGGCCCGTGAAGAGATTGAGATAATAATAATCTTAGTTTTAAGGATAAATAGCGAGTTGTTAACTTTATTCTAGTAATCTTGTAGTTGCTCTGTTGGTTCTTCAAATTGATTGTCTATATTTCCATTTCTATATTCAAGCGAATGTTTATACTTTGCATGTTATATCCGGAACTGACCCAGAATAGTCCGAGAAAGGTGTTTAGAACTGCTATCTATAGTGCACACAGTTCTGCGTGTCATTTTAAAAATATATTCCCAAAAATGTTCACGACACAGTCTGGAGGAAAGTTTAATCATTACCGACTACGCTTAAACAGTTTCAGTCAAGCTCTGAAGAAGCCAACAGGATGATTGGCGAAACGTCAGCAATTTCGACTCAGCAAAAACCGACGCAGCAGGAATCCAAAAGTTTTATAAAAAGTATAACTAAAATCGATAGTTGCCGATCAAAAAGAGAATAGAGTATACTTGGGATCTCTGTTTTGAAGCATGTTTAAAAAGGAAGAAGATATAGAAGTGTTGAACTGTTGGAAAAAGTTTAATTGGTCTAAAGTATGTCTGAAAACTAGGGATAACTATAACGACGTTGTGGACCATAAGTTAATAGCAGCAAACCATGATGATGGTTTAATTAATATCAAGTCTTACAAAAAAATAAAGTGAACTTATACCAACAACGAGAGATACCGCCTGAAATTTCAAATTTCAAAAAACCAACGTTTTTAACGAATTCGCGACAAAACGAGACATCTATTGAGAACTTTTTTCCATGCTCGTGTCCAAGCAAACTGCCGTAAATCGAAATCGTCTATCGAAAAACAAAACGAAAAAAAAAGAAAAGAACAACCGACTGCACACACTGGGAGAGTCTTAATCACGTTGCGCTAAAATGGTCATGTCTGGTCAGAACCATTGGCCGGGCTTCTATGAACTAACCCCTGATTGTCGGCACTACTCGAAAACTTTTTCCGCAATAACCAGCTGCAACTACGTATTTCGTGTAAAAAGCAGTTTATTCCATGTTGGAAAAGTTAAGTTGTTTTGCTGCCGTTGCTCACTGCCACTGTTATTGTTCGCCGTACGGATAAAATATACAGGTGGTTGCATCCTCGACAGTGTCGTAAAGACAAAAATAAACGCGCCTTTTTTTTTTTTTTCAAAAAAAAAAATCAACAATTTATTTTTGCATAATCGTATACGCCATAAAAACACCGCGTGCTGAGACGAGTTATTGGTAGTTTATTAAATAAAATGTCGGAAAATTACACGGGAATGAGGTAGGGATTGGTCCGAACTGGCTTTCTTCATTATCTATCGGAGCTACTTTAAACGGGGAACAAGCTTCAGCTGGACGATTATGTATGATTATATATTATTTAAAAATTGTACGTATAGGCCTCTGTAACCGAACATACTTCGCATTATAAGCAGATTCATTAAAAAAATTGTATGACACCAAACTGTTACCTTATTTTCTGCTAGACTAGAGTACTATATAAATAAAGTTAGTACCTTCACATATTATTCCAATCTAAATTAGACGTTTTTGATAAACAATCATTAATAATTAAAATTTTGGTTGCAGATACCGGGACGACACGCTATGCTGGACTGACAGGTAAGTTTTCGATTTAAAAAAAAAATGACGGCTGAAAATACGCCAACAGTTAAAGATTTATCTGCAAACGTAAGAAATGGGTCTACTGGTGATAGTGTAAGTTCTTCTCGAGGCCAAGTTTTAAATCAATTCGAGACACTGGTCGATCGAGTTTTTATTTTGTCACACACAAGACGGAGCGGGATCGCTCGACGTCCGATGCTTTTTCGGATTGCGGCGGCTAATTCTTATTTTTCGGACCGCGCATTCCGCGTGTTTTTCAAAATCGCTGCTCGCGACGAAATTTATACCGCCACCCAAACTTCCCGTTACGAAAATTTCCGCATTTATTTTCCACTTGGAAATTTCATGGAAACGTAACGCGCGCAACTCGAGTTGAGAGGCTCGCAGATGGTCGACTGACAAAAGAGGAGTTTTTGTTGAGAAAAAACCGACTATTGTTTCGGAGTTATATATACAGTTCCATTTTAGGAAGCGACATAAATTAACCAGATTCGACACGAACTTCGCCGGAGTGATACAAAAATACTGCCCAAAGAAATCAAAAATGTATTTTATCCGTTCGAGTGCCAATTTTGAAATTACCGATGCTGATTGGAAGAAGTTAGGATTTAGCAGACCATCGAAATCAAACATGAAGGATTTTGTCGAATTTAAATTGAAGATTAAAAAGAACAATAAATACAACCATGAAATAGTGACTGGTAGTCTGAAAACAAATACACATGACTAGTGTACAAGAAATAATTTGTAATATAAACTTATACAACATGACAAAGTCATGTAAAAAAACGATTTCACGTGTGTCTTGTGCTTTTGCTTATTATTTGTAAGAAAGTCGACTTTTCGAAAGTGAAATGGTGATAGCAAAATGCCGCAGTACTGTGAAGTTCGCAAAAAACTCCTACTTCAACTACGAACACTTCCGCTGAGGTCTCTCCTACTTTAGATTTCGCCTTTGAAAGAGGATCACTTGTTCAGCGAGGTTACAATTGCATTACACAACCACTACTAAAATCCACAGTGATCGATGTAGCTATCGTCTCCATATTACGTAAGGAAGACGACATAGAGAGAAGGAACTTCGGCAAAAATAAGCTCTTAATATAGCACTTGACAGAACATATTGAAGATTTCCAACTTCACAAACTAACCAACAATGATCCTTAGTCCATAGCTTTGTTGGGAGTTTCTCATAGACAATTGAAAATAATTTATTTTTCATAACGTTTTTAACGTATCAACATCCGTGGAAACTTTTTAACAAAAAAATTTTATCACCTACGTATTCCGACACACAATATTATGCTTTTCTTTCAAGTAGGTATCTCCTTAGTTTTGTTTTTAAACAGTTTCACCATTTTTATTCGTTTCACTTCATTTGAAAGATCATACAAGGTGATGCCCGAGTATAAAGGAGACAAAAAGAACTGTGGTGCGGTGCCCGGGTGGTGGCAATAAAAAATGACGTACGTCAATGGTTTATTTCTGTTTTAGAGCCGATGCGCGGCAACTAATGAGGGTGGCAAAATAAAACAAGGCGGTTATAAATTATCCGAAGAGTCGATTAGCTAGCGCTCCGAAAGGAGAGTCTATCAACGTTAAATCCAAACCTGTTATGAAATTACTGAACATGATTGCCGGTCGCGGCTACGATGAGAGTTTTGTCGGGTAATTTGGCTGAAAATAGAAGGGGCCATCCGGGATTCGATTGAGGCAATCGATGCCAACGTCGGCTCCCTTCCTTTTTTTTCTCTATCGCTAGTTTTCCATATTAAAAAAATATATATCGCAAAATGCCGGAATCCGAAGTTAGTCCGGTCGTCGGTTGAGTTTTATCTCGCCCGTTGAAACAAAAAGCTGAAAAATGTCGAACGCGGCCGCCGAGCATACGCGGACTTAGTATTAGGATCTCGAATCATTAAAACCACGTATGTCGAGAATGTGGAAACGCAAGTCGGCCTGTGGCGGACACCCGTCACATTCTGCCCGCCCGTTGACCATCGATAAATATTGCTCTCGTCTATCTCTGGTTGACAATACCGCGAAAATACGGACAATGATCGTCGTACTCTCTCTTCTTTCTCGCGATTTTCGGGGTATACGCTTTCGGTTTTCGATATACGGCGTGATCAAATACGAGCCGGCACTATTGCTAACTTCTTACCGCTATATAAAAATTTCATACCTAGTGCACAGAAAACACCCTTAAAAAAACTGTAGTAGTTGAATTCACAGGCCAATTCATAAGTGTCAAAATGGACCAAAATGATATAACTAAAAAATCGCATACAAAATTTTTAGGTACAGAAATTGACTATCAATTAAGGTGGTCCAATCAAATAGGCTATGGATTAAAAGAAACTATTGCTATATTATGCCTTTTCTCTTAAATGTATACTACTAATCAGTATACTCGGACGGAATTCTTGTTCAACAAAAACGAATAATTCGATTTATTTTCACTCTGCCAGGTATTTTTGTTTACTTAAACTATTAACTTATGTAATACATAAAAATAAACATAACTGTCAAAAATGTCAGACCATTCATTCTATGAAAAATCACCTTCTCATTCCAAATATACCATTACATGGTTTCTGTAGAAATTTTTACTCACAACAAATGTTTTTTATAACCCGCATGAATAAATACCAAAAATTATATATTTTCTAAAATTTTTTAAAATATTTAGACACATTGCTATTTTTCCTGACCAAAGTTTCTTTGGCAACGTTGGTATCACTGAATAAATGTCTAATACTTCTACCACTATAACCAAGTAACAAACAAACAATGTTTATTGTCAATTTTTGCTTTTTTGAGCGATTTAGATTTACTAGGATTTTCACATATGAAGCGTAACATTTGCGATGATAGATTTTGAATATATAGATACATTTTTTGTTAAGATATCACGATACCACGTTAAGTAAGGTACCTAGTTAGTGAGTCATCTATTTTTCATTTATAACAACTCAACTATAAATTAAATTGAAGTATATTTATATTTATTTATATTAGCCGCAATCACACAATATTCAAACACACACAATATTACACACATAATCACCCATCATTATTCCATTCCATCTGGACCTTTGGAATCTTTCCCCATGTTCCTCGCTCGCGTGACGAAAGTTTACTCGAAAAAAAATTAGATAGGAATGCGACAAATGCATTTTTATTGACTAACCAACCCAGATTTTGAAAGCTGTTAATACATTTTCAACAACCGTCACATATCGTTGTCGCTCAGAAAACATCATTTTGGGTTTCGTTTTGCACTATTTTACGCGTGATAATCTTAACCGCATTGACACTGTCGCTGATTATTAATCCCTACAAAACAGCATTGGTGACGTCAGTCAGCGATATCTGGCTAATATACTCATTACGCTATTTCTAAAATCCACTTCATTTCAACTACTTCATAAACAGCTTCACCTTGAACAAACTTACTACAGTAAGTGAGCCCACATTTTGATCAGTTGGTGGTCAGCGCCTCTAGACCCTTTTTAATATTTAAACTGTTGTAATACTCCTATGTGGGATCTAAGTTGGATTTTGGTTTAATCATATGGTCCCCTATTTATCACTGCCACAGTCATTCTATTGAGGCCGTTTTTTAAGTATGTTATGTTTAGAGAGGATGATATTTAGCCTCAAAAGAGCCTTATTGTTTATTTCCATCCTTTTATTTAGCATTTTGCTGTAAATTAAGACATCCCAGACAGGATTTGTAAAATAACTACCACTTACAGAGCTCCTAGTCATAAGACATTGCAAAATGTGCAAAAATGGTATCGAAAGTTACTATAAATTTTTAAACTCATTAATTTCCTGATTTTTTTTTTTTCGTATTAATTTAACTACGCCGCACAACTTAAAAAAAAATCGAAATTATCGAAATAACGTACCATGCGAACAAACGGGTAAAAAATAAAGGACGCGATATAGAGTATGGCCGCGGGCAAGGAAAGAGTTTAATTTCTCGATCGACTTCGCAGGTAGTATGTTATTGATATCGACGTCGTCTACTACTACTGTATTCTCTGGGTGTGTGTTACGTCTATCGCGTATTAGCCTCGGGTTGTCGGGCAAGAAAAATTAACTCAACAACCTGTTTTAAAAATAACTTCCACCTTATGAATGAACAACAATAATTTATTCGCGTGTAAACTACTGGATACTTAAAACTGGTAAATTAATATAATTATTGCGGACTTATTTAAGAACTGCCAAATTAAAAAAAAAAGTACATAAAAGCTCATTTTATTTATAAATTAATTTAAATTTAAAAAAGTATATATTGTTTCCTCGATAATTTAATTCTATTGGTAAATTTTGCTAACAAATCATGACAATTTTTGCTATCATTAGCACTTTTGTAATTTTACCTCATCGTGAGCACTGTGGTCAATTATTCAAATTCATGATGTACAGGACCTCTAAAAATTAACTCTTTTCAAATAGGGCGCGATTTTGTTTACCGTTTTCCCTCCCATGCCCAGCTGTTTATGTACAGCTGAATAATTTAAGTATTTATTTGGTGTTTGATTTATTAATCGGGTACATTGGCGTCTGCGGAAAATGACATCTATTTATGTCGTCCCGCGGCACGGGGGTTGTCTTAACGATCACGTAACTTAATCCCTTCATACATATCCCCATAAAAGTTAGACCACACATAATCCGACATTTAGGCGTTTAATTAGCCACGAAGAACATCCGAGAGAGCTTCCTCGTCGGATTCCGATGCACGGGGGTTGTGTCGTCTTCCTTTCGCGTTTTCGGACGTACAGAAACGTGACGGGGCCTTTTTCGCTCGCCTTGCGGTGCTAAATTGACTGCGCCCTTAATTACACGCGTTTTCGGTAGGGTGTTGATTTATAGGGCAGTTAAATATCTCATAAACAGCACGCGAGCGGTTTGGAATGTCCGATGTCATATTTGATGACATTCCGTCGCAATCCTCTATTAAAAGTTTTTTTCGCGTCCCGAGAAAACAATATACGGGGCGTGCCACAATAGTTATAGTTTGCATATTAACCTTGCTTACCTTCAAACTAGAAGAAATCTTATACATTATTACTACTTTTTCCAAAGAACACGAGATACGGGGTGTCCTAAAATAGCTATCGTTTCTAGGTTAACGTTGCTTATATCAAAACGCGAAGAAATGATCTTATAAATATATGTCTGCAAGTTAGTCGAATTTAAAAATATGATATTCGATTTGATAGAAAATGGTGAAATTAATTAAAAAAAACTGTGTCTTGGTTAGAATTATTTAGCAAGATCAACTTAAAAATAAATTTATAACAAAAAAGAACTTTATTTGTAAATATCGAGAAAATACTTCCTTACTTGAAGTATAGGGAAACTTATATTTGAATAATACTAAGATCAAAATAACGTCCTTAGATTTTGTTTGATTTTTAATTTACAAATTTTCGAAGTCACCTTAAACGTAAACATTTCTGAACAATTTTACATACATGCAAATAATAAATAAATTAAATATTTTATATAAAAATATTTACAAACCCTAGTGATATTTTCAATGGATCAACAAAGAATAAATATGAAACAATTGACATTAATATTTTGACTTTGAAGTTTATATTTATTTTTAAATTATTTTAAATTTATATTTAATTGTTGGCTTGTTTTCAACACTATTATTATAAAAAGGTTAATTTGATTTTTAATTTAGATTAGGTTATTAAATTGTGGTATAATTGACGTTAATTACTAATATTTTTTTCGATCATTTTCAGCATTTATTTTATTATTTTAATATGAATTTTATGTTATGCAATTTTTATGTTTGTCAAGCAGCTGATGCGTTTTTAACTTTAAGCAGAACTGATAAGTAACAATTTCAAAATGAACATTTAAATCTGAGGCCCTTTGTATTATACCTCGTTTAGACACCCAGTACATTATTTTCCTAGACACTGAGGGTTCTAAGTAGAAAATGGCGGTCCCTTTTCCCGCCTCCGGCCAATTAAAGGTTCGTTTATTAAATGCAATAAATAACAGTTCGGAAAATCAATGTTGATTCTCAAAACCAATTAGGCCATAATAGGCAGTTGCAGATTGCTGAAGGTTAGTGACGTATATGGAGTTGTATTTGTTTCGAGAATCGATTGAATGGTGGTCCATATGATATTATCGTCCGTTGGCAGCCGAAGACCGTCGGCCCTTTCGGCCTCCGAACCGTTCAAATCCGCGAGAAAAAACTTTAACTGCTCCGCCGGCCATTTTTCCGTTTACTCATTTGCATAATAATTAGCGGACCGCGAACTAAAAACAAACATGGTCGAAAGGGCGAACCTTTAAAGTTTTGTTGTGTTTGTAGCAGCTTGGTACTTGATATAATTTCCAAAAACAGAAAAAATATCGATATGCGAATTAAAAGCTACACCTCGAGGGTTTTATTCCTAAAAAAAAAGCCCCACACTGTTACGCGTTTTACCCTCAGCAAATTGATATTCGCCTTAATTAAATCGAAGATGAGATCGATGCTACCTGTTTAAGGCATAATAGTATTTATTCAGCACGTGCTGCCGTATGGTTATCTCGTGAAATAACTCAACTGGGCTAGTTCAATCTTGCAGTCCTACGGTATTGGTATAGTGACATGCATTATTCAGATGGTAGATTAATGGATGCTTTGGGCTTGCTTGTATTGCCTTGTTATTGATGCCCGGTCTCGCTTAATCAACGTTTAAAAATATGATTGTTTTTTCACTCAACCATTTATTTATTTTTCTCAAAACTAAAAAAAAAGTATTCATTCTAAAAATAAGGGCAAATCCAAGTCAAACGCATAAAAAAAAATAAAATTGCTTTGCTAAGTAATCGGTAATTGTTGTCCTGAATGGAGTTTCGGTGCCAATGGGAAGACCTATTTAGGGGCGACACCGCCGCATAGAAGGGGACTTTCTCGTCGCAGTTTTTGGTTTTAGTTGCACTCCAACTGTCCTTCGCTTAGTAAGGGCCTTTGACTCCCGTCGAAACGGGACGTGGATTACGCGCGGAAACAAAAAATGCTGTGCGGCTTCGAAGTGGCATATCCTGATTTTTGTTTTTATTCCAGGAAACCCTCGGTTGAGGATGTCGGGAATCCTTCGTCGGTCAACGCGCGGTAAGTTTCTTTTTTCCTAAATCGCATCCGCAATACCGTCCGTACCGCGAGATAGAACTAGCGCTACGTTGTTTATGTAAAATTTGCTCGACACTTGCACGTAAACAGTATAAGTGCCATCGTTCCAAAAAAAAAACATTTTCCATCTTCAATCGGAATCGAAACATCCCACCGGCTAACCAAAAACAATGGCGAATTTCACTCGGTATGGGCTTATAGTTAAAAAGAACTATTTATTTTCGATCGTCGGCATTAAAATGTATCGACCGACATTGATTGGGTCAGTAATCTTACCGCCGTGAGTGATGCCCTGGTGTAACGCGAGCCAACCGCTTCGGCGACATCAAGTAATACCGTACCCACTACCAAGTCGCGCGTTCTCCGTAAATTTGATAAGTTCGTTTCTCCTGGATGCTACTAAACCGTATCCCCGGGAAATATTAAAGAAAATATTATATTTCAGATAATGTAAGTGATAAGTATAGTACACCGTTTTGCTACAATACTGCTTTTCCCCAATTTTCCAATCGGTTTTTATATCGTTCACATTCATCGCGGTTACTATTTCTTCTGAGACAATTTACGCCATCTCCCTGTTCTAAGCCTTCCTCTAACCGCTACGTTTGTCCTAATAATTGTCCGTTAGACAATGTCCAACATTAGAATGTCCTGTTAGTGAACGGCCACCCAATTCATATAGTAAAATCAATTATTTTATATTTTTTTAAAAATTGTTTTTTGTGCTTAGGTAGAGTTAACGATGGATATTTATGTTATGAAGATCTATCCGTCCGATTTGTTAGTTTTTCATGAAGATAGTTTTTTCTTTCTTGGTTAATTGCAGGTGGTTAATTGCGACGTATACCACAGAAATACTTGATCTTTAATTTTAATACTACCCTAGAAGGTGATTCCAATAGAACCGCTTTGACTGCAACTGGCAATTAGTATGTTTTGTCTTTTTCCAAAATGGCAAAGTTCAGATGTCTCATATATTTCCGATTACGTTAAAATTGAAGACTGTTGAAGACAGGGCTCCCAATTTAGTCCAGAATGGGTGTATGCTTTGGCAACATTTTTCTTAAATACTTACAAAATATAGTTTTTTTTCTTGGTGGTGCGTCCAGCAGCCAGGAAGTTAATTGCGATTTAACTAAAGAAATAATTGAATTTTAATTTTAATACTTTGTCATAGATGTTGATTGAATAAGCTAGGATTATTTACAATTAGAATATCCTGTTGTAACTAGAGTTTCCGATTTACCCCAGACGTTGGTTCAAATCGAACTAATTTGGCTTCAATTGACAATTAGCATTTTCGTTTTCCGAAACTGCAAAGTTTTAATGTCCCATGGTTTACCGATTAAGTTGTAAAATATACAAAAGTTTTCGAAAGCAACGAGGGCCTGTCCGCAACATGTTGCACGTCCACTGTCCAAGACAAATCATTTTTATATATACGATCGTCGCATATGGTCGCACGCGCCACGTCTGTAATTATGGATACGTTATACCGAGGGTTAGACCGTCGTCGAGTCATCCGAAACTTCACCGGTATCGACTAACCGTATTTTTTTAATTCCACAAGTTATCGCCGTTCGCGTGTTCATAATCCTGTAGATGTTTTCAAAAAATAGCAAAGTCATGGTACTTGTTGTCGGGAAAAAGTGCCGACCGGTTCGTTGTTAAGAGAAAAACCGAAAGTAACAACTTTTCACAATTGATTAAGAAAGTTTTTTTTTTCCCGGCTACGGTCCGATAAACCTATTATTATCCATTTTTCAGAATTTCTAGTTTGGTCGTTTTGTTTTGTGAATGACTTGTAGTTTCTGCCTCCTTTTAAGCCGATTTTATAATAAACAACGACGGAAAAAAATCGCTTTTGTCGTTGTTGGCTGGCGATTGACTGTCGTCGACTAATGACACTAAAAATGCCATGTGGCCGGACGATCCCGCGTCTGTGTCGCCCTGTATATACCGAATCGACGCCGGTATCGAGACAATGGACCGGGTCCTCCATAAACTGATACGAAACTCGTGGCCAATGTCAACTTTCGATCGCGATCGAAAGAAGCGGCACAAAACGGGCCTCAAGCCCGGGCGAAATAACCAGACAACCATTATCTGGAATTTTTTCATCGCAAATTACTTTTTATATGTCTGACAGAGTTTCGCCGCCCGAACGAACCGATCTGAGATCGACGGAATGTTAACAGTTTTCAGATACCTATGCCAATAATAGAAACTGATAAATTACGCATTATAAATTCCGCTTGAGACATATAAGAATATATAACCGGGATATTATTTTGTTTTATATTATATTGTGCCACATTTCATACCTTAAATAAGGCCTGTTTATATTTATGGACATCGTGATAGGCCGTTCTGCCTTATGCGGTACCGTATGGTATGTCGAAGACGAATTTGATAACCTGGAACACTTCACCACTCTTCAATCGGACACGCACGGATTGTGTTTTTTATTACTCTTAAATGCGCTCAAAAATAAATAAATAAATAGTACCCGGTAGAGTTTATATATCTACGGTATGGTCCTTCTTTAAAGCGTTCCTGGTACATTTCGCGATAGATTTGTCTCTAGCGTTTCGCAGGGGTTGAACTTTTTTCCGTCAAAGGTACCGAATTCCGAAAGGGACGCGTCGCATTTAAATTAGACGTTTTCCGTAAAATTTATCAATGGCCGCTGTTCGTCAGGTACGGCAGCCGAAGGCCAAGTGCCTAATATGAGACCAGTAGAACCCCAAACACGTATGTAGACGTGACCCAGCTGTGTACCGCAATATCTGATGACCTATAGACTGCGACGGTGGTGGAGACGAGGAACCCGCTCCGTGACCGGTTTACCCGGACGAGGGCTCACGTAGGGGACGCTCCCGGCGTCGTGCACACGACGCCGACCGTCGGCGACGGCAGCCACCGTCACATCGTACACGTACGCTCAACCGTGATCGGTCTGGAATATTGCCGATTGTACTACGGGGCATCCGAGAATGAAGGCGGGCACGTTTTTGCTTCGTCCATTCATGCGACCAACATTCCGACAATACTAATATAATAGTTAATCTTTCATTAAAACTAATCTCCCCTTTATGCCACAGCAGAAATGCAAAAATAACACCCCATCTCTTCCATCGATTTCTCCGTTCTTTGTAGCTCGAGCCGTCTCAATTTTTTGACTTTTTCTTGGCTTCATATGTCTGCACTATGTATGAACAGCAAAAATTCGATAAGATTAGCGATACGAAACCTTCTCTTCTCTCGAAACCTCGATATCCAAACCTATCCCCATCCTATTTAACACGAGATGTTTCTCAGTTTTCTCATAGCTGAGACACTACAAATAAAGCAAAAAGGAACAAGTGATAAAAAAAATATCCCAGAGAGGTAAACAAACAATTATCACAAATGTATACTTAGATAAAAATCTCTTAAGTTGTTTTTTGAACTTCTCTCTTCTTTTAACTTCCTGGAAAGAGGTTTGTACACAAGTAAACCGATAAAAATTTAAATACTTATTATTAAAATTAAAATATTTATGATTACGTTGCTGAATACGGAAATAGTTTCTAATTTTTGTGTAATATTTATTAAAAACTCCATTAACTTCACCTAACCTATCACCGATACACTTCACACCATGTTCAAAACCCTCCAAAATGATTTTTATTAACTGTGGTAAATGTGGCAGCACAGCAGAACAGCACGGATATATTCACTGACATGACCGTCAGAATTGGCGGTTAGGTATTTTACAGAAGGGAGTAGAAAAAATATTAAGTAAATTGATAGTTGTGACAGCCAACATTTTAGGGCAGCACAAAAAAAATCGGAGGGCGACAATGTTAAAGTTAACAAAAAGGAGTTTTTATTGAATTTTAAACAAAGTCAATAAGCTAACGCCAAGAAATTAGGCTGTCAATTAACACGCCTGTCATATAAGGGTGGATAACTATTCACTCCGCAACATCGACCACAGATCAAACACGTACGGATGACAAGTTAAGGTTGAAAAAAGAAAAAAAAAACAACCGCCGATATCTCCGGAAATGCTCGAAATAGCGTGCTATATCGACGAAAAGGGCAAAAACAAAATACATATTTCCACGTGCGATGCACGGAACAATCCTCGACGGAGAAGAGATCTCGTGCATAATTGATAAACATTGTGATTCGATATTCCCGCATAATGCTCCAATTCGCCGTCTAGAGAAATAGGGAAACCGCCGTTCCTTATTCTGCCACATTCAATGTTGCTCAGATTTGATTTATGCCAACTATCAATTTTGCTTTTACGTCCCGTGCGAATTTTAAAACAGCCGTCGCATATAAACCGTACACTATACAATTCAATTCTTCGATTTTCTATCGTGCGACGATTTGCTCTGCTCGCGAGTCCCACGCCGCCCCGCCCAGAGGGGTTATGTATTTCTTTCGTGCAATTAACGGTGCGAAAATATTTCCGTCCACGAAATTAGCCATATCGACTTCGATTGGCGAAACAAATGCGAAGAAATGCTAAACAAACAGTACCGTCTTGTTTTCCTGGAAACTCGAACGGTCCGGCGTTCATTGTTTACGACAAAAAAGGCAACGAAAAATTATTTGTATTTGAGTTGCACCGACCGCTGTGGAGAAATGTGCATGGCGGCGAATCAAAAATTTCTACACCTTTTAGTTTATATTGACTTTAATTCCGAGAATTTCACGTTAAAAGTTAATGCGTAAAAATCTCTCTCTCCGAGATCCTCAATACGTCGAACGCAGACGAATAATACGAAAACAACCACAAAAAATCCCAGGCAGTCAGACCTTGATTATAAAATAAAAATAAAGGGGGGTTAAAATTAATTTGAAAAAGTTTTAAAAAGAACTCGGTTGGTTTAAATAGGTTTTGAGGGAATTAAAAGAAAGTTTTCTTTTTCATGAATAATCTTCTTGCATTTCTTGGACAAATATTTGATGAGAAAGTGATACCG